TGCAATAAAACGGCAATTTCATACTTTAACCCCTAATATTAAAAAAAAGTATCTAGTTTTGTTCAAAATTAATGATATTATTACAAAATGTTTAGTTGATTTCTGATCTAGACGACTAGAGTCGCCTTTCTATTGAATCGATTCGCTTGAAAATCGCATTGAAATAAATCGATACAAAAAATCGTTAGATCGTATGCACTTGAATCGATCTGCATAAAAATTGAATCGTAATGTGCATCTTTAGTAGTGGAAATCCACAGGATTGGTGGTGGGTATTGTGTGGAGTTGCCTCTCTTTCGTCTAAAAAGATTTTTTTTTACGAAATTTGTAATAAATATGGAATTATACCAAGTTCCGTATTCGCTGTTTCTGGCCACGAGTAATTTTTTTTTTATTTGCCTTACAAAAGTGGTTACAGAGTTATCAGTCTTAACTAGAAATTTACTCAAATACAATTCGAATACAATGGAACCTACTCGATGTAAGCACAACATGCGTATAATTTTCACGTAATTCTTCTTACGAAGTAATTTTGACTCGGATAGCCCAATTTCTGTTTATACATTTTTGAATAAATGTTACGTATACACGTTTGGTTGAGGACAAAGAACCACCGAAAATATGGGAAACATTTCGAATACAATTATAGTCCCTACACATTCTATACAGAGGAGAATGATGACAGTCTTGCCTTACATGCAGGCAGGGCAAACGTTTTCCGATTTTGTAATTTATTATTTTATAAATTTGTAAGAAAACTTGACATGCTCCGAAATATCCGGCGAATCCAAGGTCACATTGACTATATATAATAAGAAAGACCGTAATAGGTGGCACGGTATGACACAAAAATCACTGCCCATCTCTGGTTACTTACTTATTTTTAGGACTTTTGCTTTTGTACATAAACAGAGTAGACGCGTGTTTAAAACACGGAAAATTTCAATGTTAGGCGCAAAGTAGTGAGTTGTAAGTAGAGGTGGGCGATTAAACGAAAAGCATTTAAAAAAGTTTGCCTTTTAAAATAAGAACTTAAGCACGCTTTTTATTTTAAGCGTAAGGGTTGGTCAGTTCTATACTCAACAATTTCTTTGTTTACAAATTAATTCGTCAGTGTGAATAATAAATTTTATAAATAAAAATGTAACTCGTGTTTTACAAATAAACTTACTTAACTTAGAACCTTTAGTGGTCTACTCTTGCTTTTCGCTATCAACACAACGTTGCAAGCTTTTTTTAACACAAAAGTCTATGCGCTTAAACGTTTTTGTAAACGATTTTTTAACCTTCAAACTAAAAAGCGTTCAAGTGAAAAGCGTCTATAAAAGCACGCTTTTTAAAAAGCTGCAACGTTTTAAACGTTCGTAAAAATAAGCAGTACTTCTTTCTCATCTCTAGTTGTAAGTCGCAATTACTGTGCGGATTGATGTTTATAACTACGCCACGAGGATAACAAAGCCAATTAAGAACCGCTTACAGCACGAGTCATACATATTGATCAATAACACCGTAAACATTGTGTAGTGACCGTGTCGACATGGTTTATCAACTCTAGTTGCATTCGTAGATTTCTTGCAATATATTTTTTATAGAATTTACACCGTCTTCCGCGTCGGCGACCATGGTTACGTTCACTAGGTCTATGCCCATACCTATGTATAGTTATGATTCATATTTAATTAAAAAAAAAAACAGACGGGAAAACTTTGCTCATAAAGACATTTGCTCACATCGTGCCTCGCTGCATTAGTAGCTGAATCGGACATTTTTGCCATAACAGAGTCAAGAGTTGTAGTTGTACGTCTACTTCATTTATTCATGAATATAACTGATAGAATCAGTTCGACATGAGCTACAGTTCAAAATGTGAAGTTCTAAACCAAAAATACGTTACCAAAAAATTGGCCAAATGCTAGTTACGGCTGTTAACCAGGGGAGAACCACGTTTAGAACTTCAATGACATATCAAGAACAAATAATGCCCACAAAATAATATATAATCGACTAAAGGCTTGGAGACACGTCTATCCATAACAGTTGCAGTGCCACTCAGAGCTTTAAGTCGCAAAAATGCGAGAAGCACTGCCACTGCGCCCGTCACACTAAGACACAATTTGACAAGTCTCCTATGTGTCTGTAATTTCACCAGTATCCCTACCCTTCAAAACCAGAACGCAGCAATGCTCGCATTACTGCTTGGCGACAGAAATAGGTAAGGTGGCAATACTTCCCTAGATAAACTCTTTCACAAGGACACTTACTACTACTAAAACTTGGCTGTATGGTTTTAAGCCTTTGCCTTATCCTTAACGGGAACAATTTAAAAAACAACGTATTCTAAAGATACGTGTAAACAAATGAAAATAAAAAAATTACAATAAATCGTTATTAGATTGTAACAATTACATTACATGGCTTAATTGACAGTTATCGAAGCAATAAAGTGCGGTCTCGTTAGAGTATACGGTGACGGTGGTGAACTCACGGTTATTGGTCATTCAATGACCAATCGGTGAGATCATGGGAGCACCTGTCCCTTCAACAATAGCAGAGAGACTCGCAGATACCTATGTTTATTAAATTATACAGATTAAATACGCGTGAAAAATAGATCATAACTATAGTACCTGATGATAACTATAGTACACGCTATTGTCGTCTTGGCACACGTTTTA